AAATGGTCTCTTTCAACTGGTCCCAGTCCAGTTAAAATTAAAGCTGGCTTTGGAGTTGGAGTGTGGCTCTCTCCTTCTCTAAACCCAAGCATGCTTGTTAAAAAGGAAAATCCAATATTTCTGTCTTCTGTCAGAAGAGACACCTGATATGGAACAGAAGAAAAACCAAATTTAGGGAGTATTCTATTGCTACTAATCTCATGATTCTTTGGTTTTATTTTGACTCTTTAACACTTTTCTTAAGATACAAATATTAGTTAGATAGATAGATAGATAGATAGATAGATAGATAGATAGATAGATAGATAGATAGATATAACTTTTTGTCATTATATTAATGGTCATATAGAGTACTAACTAATTCTAGAAAAAGGCTTCATCTAGTTTCCTGTATATGATTTCAGGTTAGAGTCTCTATTAGGGAACTAGGAATTAAGCTTTTGTACTCTAGATGTACATAACAAATACTGATCATTTAACCTCTTTGATATCTGCTGCATATGACATTTAAAATGCTTAAGTTTTCTGCAATGAACCATGACCACACCTAACAGCGACCTTTGAAGTCTCCAAAAGATTGATGGAGCTCCACAACAGTTATTCCACAGGGACTATGATAATGCCACTAAGCTGATAAATATCACCCAAAGATTGGCTTTGGACTACAAACTGCTCAGGACATTTCAAGGTGGCCAACTAAGTTGATCCAGCCTCACAGAATACTCGAACAAGGACTTGAAACAAGCCCTGCACTTTCCCATTATGCAGAGACTGGACAACAAATGATACAGCTACCTCTCCCAGGACTTAACAATTAACCAAAATTTTCTCTTTTCAGGATTCCCTTAAAGATACCTTCACCCCCAGACAGCGGGAAGCAAATTTAAGAACATGATGCCCACATTCCCAAGAGGTGGTGTGGGTGGTTTTTGATCATTCAGTGGGTTATGGATATTAGTGCTGTGGGATGGTCTGTATGTCAAATTGCTCTGATTGGTCAATAAATAAAACACTGATTGGCCAGTGGCCAGGCAGGAAGTAGGTGGGACAAGGAGAGAGGAGAATTCTGGGAAGCAGAAGGCTGAGGCAGAGAGACATTGCAGCCGCTGCCAGGACAAGCAACATGTAAAGACGCCGGTACGCCACCAGCCATGTGGCAAGGTATAGATTTATAAAAATGGGTTAATTTAAGCTATAATAACAGTTAGCAAGAAGCCTGCCGCGGCCATACAGTTTGTAAGCAATATAAGTCTCTGTGTTTACTTGGTCGGGTCTGAGCGACTGTGGGACTGGCGGGTGACAAAGATTTGTCCTGACTGTGGGCAAGGCAGGAAAACTCTAGCTACATATTAGTCATTGTTTAGGATGGTTGGTTTCAAGTTGTTTTTGATAATGGTTAAAAAAAAAAAAAAACAGAGGAGATTAGATTCAGGGTTCTTGTTTTGAAAAAAAGAAAAAAGAAAAGGAGGATATAGTTATGATAGGATAAAAGGGTTGCTGTGGGATGTTCTGTATGCTAAATATGTTGCTCTGATTGGTTAATAAATAAAACACTGATTGGCCAGTAGTCAGGCAGAAAGTATAGGCGGGACAAAGAGAGAAAAGAATTCTGGAAAGTGGAAGGCTGAGACAGAGAGACGCTGCCAGCTACTACCATGAGAAGATGTTAAGATACCAGTAAGCCACGAGCCACATGGCAACTTATAGATTAATAGAAATGGGTTGATTTAAGATATAAAAACAGTTAGCAAGAAGCCTGCCACAGCCATACAGTTTGTAAGCAATATAAGTCTCTGTGTGTTTATTTGGTTGGGTCTGAGCAGCTGAGGGACTGGCAAGTGAGAGAGATTTGTCCTGACCGTGGGCCAGGCAGGACCAGGAAAACTCTAGCTACAAAGGGTAGATTATTGAATCTACTTTTAAAAAGCAACTACTTGTTTTTAAATATTTTACATTGATTTGGATCTTTGTATATTGATATGAAGTTGAGATTATTTTTGTTAGAACATACTGTACATACATTTCTAATCTTATTCAAGGTATTGTACCTATACATCTCATTTAAAAATGTAATGCAAATTGCTTGAAAGTTATTATTACAAACTACTTAGGATAATAAAGAAATGCAGGTTAGTAGTTAGTCACCTATTGCAATTAAACTTGTAGTCATGTTAGGAATGTTTTCAATGTCAAACAAATATATTTTAGGTAGACAGGTGGTCTTCAAACACTTCAGAGATCTACAGAATATGGCATTTAAGATGTTTTAATAACATAGGTTTTATACACACACACACACACACACACACACACACACACACACATATATATATATATATATATATATATATATATATATATATATATATATATATCATAGGTTTATATATATAAACAATGAGACAGGTCTGCTCCTGGTAGCACCAATCTGCTTCAGAGAAGATGATGGGCATCGAAGAAACTCCATATGGAGTTTACTTTCTTTGTGGTGAAAGTTAGCCACTGGGCAAGAAAGTGTCCCTGCCTCCACTGCTGACAGTATGCTGTCCAAATGGACAAGCAGAACACAAAAGAAAGGACTGCCTGCCAAACTTTGCAAAGACAACGTGGGACAGTCCTTCAGAAAATCTTGCTTCACAGATAAGTCTGTCAGATATTCTAGGCTTGTAGGCCTAAGACAGATGCCCTAACATTTCAAAGGAATCTTGGCTGACTGTACAGGCAGTCAGCTGCTGCTGTCATTTCTCAGATTTTTTGGAAGTTGCTTGCTTGCACTTTTGCTTACTCAGGTAATATTCCCTTTTCAGGTCTTTGATGGAGTTGAAGAGTTTATAGTTATAGTTTTCCTTGTTGCCAGATTCAGAAAAAAAATTCACTAAAGAAATGTAAAGTGTATAGGGTTGAGAGACATAAAAAGATAGTTTTGGTAATGAAAATTAGAATAGAAAGTGAATCAGGTACAAGCTTTTGGACTCACCAAGATAGGATAGATGGAGTATTTTCTCTGAATTTGTCAAATGTTAATGGACTGGACATTGTTAATGTAATTATTGCCTACGTATATTGTATATGGTTATTTTACTTATTGTATATAGTTTTTCTTATATTAGTTGTAACCTTTTTAAATTTTACACAAAAAGGGGGAAATGTGGTGGTATTTTGTTTGTGCTCTAACAAATAAAGCTTGCCTGAAAATCAGAGGGCAAAGCCAGCCATAAAGGCCAGGCAGTGGTGGCACACAACTTTGATTCCAGCACTTGGGATCTCCCGCCTTTAACCCCAGCACTAGGGAGGTGGAGACAGGAAGTGATATAGCTGGGCAAAGAGAGGAATATAAGGCAGGAGAAGACAGGAGCTCAGCCCCTTTCAGACTGAGGAGTTGATGAGGTAAGAGGTGGCTGTGGCTTGCTCTTTTGTCTCTCTGGTCTTTCAGCATTTACCCTGACATCTGGCTCTGGGTTTTAATTATTAAGAACAATTAGGATTCACTCTACACAAGGGGCTCTACCTCAGTGAGTTTTCTACCTTAGGAGTCCAGTGGTTCGGGGCATGCAGAGAAATTCCTTCTAAGGTGAAGGATAAGTTACTGTACCTAATCCTTCCCACCACCAAAAAAGAAGCACAATGTTTAGTTGTCCTATTTGGAGTCTGGAAGCAGCACATTCCTCACTTGGGTGTGTTACTCTGGCCCATATACCAAGTGATTTGGAAAGATGCTAGCCTTGTGGGGGGCCTGGGACAGGACAGAGCTCTTCAATAGGCCCAGGCTGCTGTAAGGACTGCTCTGCCACTTGGACCATGTGACCCAGCAGATCTGATGGCACTTGAGGTGGCAGTGGCAGATAGAGATGCTACTTGGAGCCTTTGGCAGTCAGTCCCTATAGGTAAATCACAGAATTGACCTTGGGGATTTTGGAGCAAGGCTCTACCATTATCTGCAGACAGCTCTTGGCCTATTATTGGGCCTTGTAGAAACTGAATGTTTGACCATAGGCCACCAAATTACCATGAGCTGACCATCATGAGCTGGGTGTTATCTGACCCACCAGGTCATAAGATAGGACATGCATAGCAGCCATCTATTATCAAAAGGACGTGGTATATATGTGATCGGGCCTAGGCAGGTCCTGAAGGCACAAGCAAGTTACATGGAGAAGTTGTCCAAGTGCCTATGGTTTCTACATTACAATTCTGTCTGCTGCCAAGCATGCACCTATAGCCTCATGGGGTGTGTCCAATAATCAGTTGACTGAGGAAGAGCAGACTAGGGCCTGGTTTACTGATGGTTCTGCATGTTATTCAGGTACCACCCAGAAATGGACAGTTATAACATTACAACTCATTTCTGGGACAGCCCTGAAAGACACCAACAAAGGGAAATTTTTAGCAGTGGGCAGTACAAACAGAATGGTTAGACATTGTGTTTGGGAGGAGAAATGGCCAGATAGGCAATTCTTCACTAACTCATGGGCTGTAGCCAATGGACTGGCTGGATGGTCAGGAACTGGAAAGAGCATGACTGGAAATTGGAGGGAAAGACATCTGGGGGAAAAGTGTGTGGATAGATCTCTCCAATTGGATGACAGATGTGAAGATACTGTGTCCCATGTAAATGCTCATCAAAAGGTGATTTCAGCTAAGGAAGAATTCAGTAATCAAGTAGACAATATGACACATTTGGTGGACAGTCAGCCTTTTCCCCTCACCATTCCCGTCATTGCCCAGTTTGCCCATGAACAAAGGGGCCATGGTGGCAGAGATGGGAGTTATGCATGGGCTCAACAACACGGACTTCCACTCACCAAGGCTTACCTGCCTATAGCTGATGCTAAGTGCCAGATCTGCCAAGAGCAGAGCCCAGCAGGGCTCCCGATATGGCACCATTCCCAGGGGTGACCAGCCAGCGATGTGGTGGCAGGTTGACTACACTGGACCACTTCCTCCATGGAAAGGACAATACTCTTCCTTACTATTCTTATTCTTATTCTTACTGATTACAGATTTGCCTTTCCTGAATGGATTGCTTCTGCCAAGACTCCCGTCATGGACTTACAGAATGTCTTCTCCACTGATACGGTGTTCCACACAGTATTGCTTCTGACCAAGGAACTCCCTTCACAGGCAGAGAGGAGTGTGACAGTGGGTCCATGACCGTGGAATCCACTGCTCTTACCATGTCCCCCACCAGTCTGGAGCAGCTGATAGAAAGATGGATGGCCTTTTGGAGACACAGTTATAATGCCAATTAGGTGGCAGCAGCCTGGAGGGCGGGGGCAGGGGTCTCCAGAAGGCAGTATATGCTTTGAATCATCAGCATCTAATGTATGGCATGGTTTCTCCCATAGCCAGGGTCCATGGGTCCAGGAAGCAAGGAGTGAAAAAGGGAATAGTTCCACTCATTATCACCCCTAGTGACCCACTAGAAAAGTTTTTTCTTCCTGTTCTCCCAATCTTAGTTTCTGCTGATCTGGAAGTTTTGGCTCCAGAGTGGGGAGTGTTCCTGCCAGGAGCCACGACAAGTAACTCCATTGAACTGGAAGCTCAGATTTCCCTCTGGTCACTTTGGTCTTCTACTGCCCTTAAACCAACAGGCTAAGAAAGGAACACCAGTGTTAGGAGGGGTGATTGATCCAGATTACCACGGGGAAATTGGATTGCCGCTTCACAGTGGAGGTAAGAAGGATTATGTGTGAGTGCAGGAGACACTTTAGGGTGTCTCTTGGTGCTACCACGCCCTGTGATTAAAATCCATGGGGAACTACAACAGTCTCACCCAGGCAGGGTGACAGGGGACACAGACCCATCAGGAAAGAAGGCATGAGTCACTCCTCCAGGAAAAGAGCCAAGCCCTGCTGAGGTTCTTGCTGAGGGTGGGGGAAATACAGAATAGTATGTGACCAGTTGCAGAAAAGAGGATTAGAATTGGCATGAGTGTTTCTGTCGTATTTTGTTAAGAATGTGTTTACAGTGTCACTGTGTGTCTGTGTGCGTTCAGGCAGATCTGAATGAAAACTCAGAGGCACCTTAAGAATGAATCTAGCCTTTCACAGCTACAGGGGGATCCAGCCTCTAAGGACTGAAGCACTTTGCTTTCGCCCAGAGCATTTTTATTTTTCTCAATATTTACACTTTAGCCAGTTGATTTTCATAAGCTCAAAACAACCTGAAAGAAGCTCCAAAAAAATACAATGCCAAGTGCAAATTCCTTGATTCATTGGGTACCATAGTTTTTCAGGTTTCCTGACCCAAGTTTTCGCATAGGCCTTTGCATCTTTGGGAGACTCTCAGACAAGATTCACACAGTGGGCAACAAGAGAAACAAAAGGTAACAGAGAAACAGACGATGGATTACGGCTACTTGCTATCACTCTGGAGCTAGGCTAGGTGTAGCCCAGTGGGAATTCTACCACAGTACAGATATTTATGTTTTCTTTCCTCAATTTCTTTATCATGAGATGTAATAGCAGTTAAGAGAATATCAATGGTTATCATATTTTAAATTTGAGATACTAAAAGAATGTCCCTCAAGGATCATTGCCACCTAGTCTAAATTTATAATGCACTTGTAGTGGTACAAGGAATAGTTATATCGTGTCAGGTGTAATTATGGCCTGGTTAAATATGTAATTCATTTGCAATTTGGGGGGGATAGTTATATTATGTTTAGGCACTCTTACTACCTGGCTATTATTTTCTTTTGAAAATTAATCACGACATAAGGAGATATGATTGTGTGTTAAGTTAACAAGAGGCTGACTTGTGATGTCTATTCTTGGTTGTCAACTTGACTACATCTGGAATTAATTAAAACACAAAAATAGAGGACACATCTGGGAGGGATTTCTGCTTAATTTGAAGTGGGAAGATCTACTTCTAATCTGGATCTCTGAGGTAGGAAGACACCTCTAATCCAGATCTTGAACCTAGATTGAATTTGGGCCACATCTCTACTGGAAGCCTACAAAAGGATATAGAAGAAGGAAGCTTTTGTTCTTTGCCTGCTTGCTCTCGCTTGCTAGCAAGTCCATTCCTTCACTGGCATTAGAGCCTGCTTCTTCGGGATTCCAGCATAACCTGAAGACCAGCTGAGACATCCAGTTTCATGGACTGAGCAACTAAACAACTGGATTCTCAGACTTTCCATTCACAGCCAGCCATTGTTGGATTAGCTGGACTGCAACTTGTTAAGTCATTCCAATATATATTATATGTAATATATATTCATCCTATAATTTTCTTACCCTGGAGAACCCTTAGTATATGATGATTCCTACCACAGGCCCATGAAAAATCATGATGAAACTACTAATAAAAATTCACTGGAAAAGTAGGGGAATAGCGACTGAAAAGACATCCAGTGCCAACCTCTGGCCTCATAAGTATGCATGCTTGCCTCCACATGTGCACATATGGACACATATACACACACACACACACACAAAGAAAACTGCAAAGAATCATCATCGTCAGTGCAAAACTGGCACCAATGATGGGTTATAGCAAAGTTTTAGGATACATGTTTACAAAAAGATTTAGGATACATGTTTATAAAGAAGAACCAATAATTACTTACATACCAACAGTGATTCCAAATCATTCTTCCTTTTTTTTTTTTTTTTAGAAAAAGAATATCTTTTATTTATTCTTTGACAATTTCTCCAAGACATCTTCAACACACACCCCTCCCCACATAATGTCCTCTCCTTTTTTGGTTAATAACCCACTGAG